ACGATCTAATGTATCATTTATACTATACATAATTTCTAATAACACCAAAACACTCTAAACCTAGCCACAGATAATTAATGGCGTCACGTTTTAAGTGAATAGCAGCCAGCTATGGGAGCCATAGCACCTGAGTGGCAATAACAGTGCTACAAAATACGAGTAAAACTGCAAATAAAACGTATATACATAATAAACCTGTACATAATGACTCCCCATATACGATCGCCCCTGCGTGGTTCAATTCAGTTAGATTGCCTTTTATTATCGACACCCATGGCTCGTTCGGCTGAGCTGTAAACTTGTTCGAAACGACCCTATATACAACGGACGTTCATCGGTGGCTTGGTTCGAAACCCAGGTATAAATTCGTGGAGGACATTAAGCGATGATCACGAATGGGAAATCGATCGTCATTCCTAAATGCACTTTGACATTACCCTGCGTTAGTCGTAATCGACCGCGATACAGTATTACCGTCTATAGTCAATGGAGCACGTTAACGTCATGTCCCCTGCTCGTTTATCACGTCTATTGCGTTTCATTACCACCGAGTGGTTTAAACTAACGTTATTTCAATTGTATAACGCAGATTGAGGAGGCGCGTTGATACGATTTTCGGATCAAGTCGTTCCTGGCTTGTTCGAGTTTCGTTGTCTATGTTTAGACCTGGTCCAGCTGACGTCGATAAACTAGCCTGGATCCGAACGCTTCCGTTATACTTGCCAGCCCTCTACTATACATTCTTCCTTATTATACGATCGGGAGGCAAGTGTCGTGAATGAAGCTACGTCTTGCGCTAGATTTAGCTTAGATTTTAGCTGTTTGGGCATCAAACTTTATTGATATCTGGAGTATTTGATTATTTGAACGTCATCTCATCCTGTTTGTATGCTAGGAAACGAATACCTTCACGAATGCAGAACAGGTTGACTAATGCTAGGCGTCCATTTTGATGGAACGCAGGTGAATCAGAAAGAAAGTAAGACTAATCACGATTTTCCATTATTCCTCTATTAATTATATGAAATTATATATTGAATAACGATTCAATAGTCTCAGATGCAAGGCAAGAAATCCCTCAGGTAGTGAGGATGACCTAGCAATGGTGGGAGTGAGAGAGAGCATGGTACCCTTATTTTCGTAGGCTTAGACACCGAATTTGAACGTCCTGCACCTCCCCCGCTCACCTTAATTAGTGGGATACGACACCTAAGCGATCGTACGAAGTCTCGCAAGGTCACGACCACAGGTCACCCATCCAAGTACTGACCGTGGCCGACCGCTGTTTAACTTCGACGATCGCCCAAAGTGCCGACCTGCCAGCTTCCCAAAGCGTCGGTTATGTCTCTAAATTATTATTACTTAATTTATCGAGTCTTGTTTCTGCACAGTGGCGTTGGTCAGAGTGAAGAAGGCGACGAACGTGAACGAGTATCAGATTGGCTACAGCGTGAAGATCAATAAAATCTTCAGGGTATGTACGACATTTTTATTACCGCAATTCTTAACAGACCCAAAAGATTGTACCCACACAATTGTGCAATAAAAACATGTATAACTTTGATATGTTCTGTGTCTCTAATTTTAGGTAAATAGCAGATCGTCGTATGCAGCGTTGAAGAAGAACATTCTATGGACCGCCTCGTCGGAGAGCGTCTGCGGAGTCGACTTAAAAGTCGGCGAGACCTACGTTGTCGGAGGCAACACTCACGGCGATAACGCGCACGTATCAATCTGCGGTATCACGATGCCGTGGCGTTCCGTTACCAGCAGGCAACGGAAGGGTTTCAGGCATCTGTACCGTTTCGGTTGCATGAAGTGTGGCGTAAGTGTCACAGCACGTTCCAGAAAAGTGTCGAGTGATTCTGAACAACAATTTCCTTTGGTAAAATTCAAAATTAGGCATGGTTTTTGAATTATTAATGAAAAACACTGACCAATGGGAGCACGCGTAGGGCCCGCGCTTAACCACTGTCGAGCGTCGCAAGCCCCCACTCCAGCGGCTCAACGTGGGCCCTACGCGCGCTCTCATTGGCCAGCGTTTTTCGTTAATAATTCAAAAACTATGCCTCATCTAGTATTTCGCTAAAGGAAATTGTTATTCAGAAACACATCCAGAACCACCCATTTTCTGGGACATTTTACGTTCATCACTTTTTACAAATCAAATTTGTATATGTTGTATATATTTCATGGGGTTTATTACAAATCTGTTTAGATCCATTATACACCTTGGCGGTCGAAGGGTGCCGCTTTGGAGCACACGGACGGTAAGAAGTGCCTATGGGAGAGCAGACCAGGCCCTGAGGATTGCCAGAGGGACTATGGTATATGCATGCCAGGACAAGGTGGCGTGTGTTCCTGGGTGCCATCGGTCCCATACAAAAACTGTATCAAAGAGCACAAGCAGGCCCGCGAGCAACAGAGAGCACGAGAACCATAAATCCTGCTGTTCACATGGGGTCCGACATAGGACGATTGACGTGAAGAGAGAAATGTTCGTTGGAAATTGACGCTGCTTAGAGAGAAACGAAGTGGCTTGGTTTTATTTGTTGAAGAGGACCCTGGTGGGCGTTTTCAACATCGATTTTGGCCATTTCTCTAGTTGTACATATTAGGCTGTTGATGTATATTACGCATTTTTTAAATTATTCTCATTCTCATTTGTACCTAGCTTTGCTCTTTTTTTTATATAAGAAGCTGCAGAAGCTTATTTAATTATTTAGTCGTTTACAAACCTTTAAATAATGAAAT